CTTAACCCGGTTCTCTTTTGTCCCCTTTTTCAAGTGAACAGTACCAACCACATCAATCGACTTTGCACAGCTTTCCTCTTAAACGAAATAAGCGGAATATTGAATTTATAAATCCCCCATGATATGGCGCAAATTTGTTTTACTGACAAATCTATTCGCAGCCCTTGATAAAGTCACAAAAAACGTATTTTTATATTGACACATCAGCGTAAACAAATTAACTTTAACGCCCTGCAGTTGCAACCGTTGAACAGCCGTAAAAAAGGAGAAAAAATACATGACAGCTGAATGAACTGAAGCGTTTTCATGGAGTAACCAACCCACTTAAAAAACCATACGGCGAATGCCCTTCGGATTTAATATATACCCATGGATATATTGAACTAAAATAACTTTTAAAAGATTTTAAAATTTCATCACAATTAATAAAACGATAGATAGCCTTTAGGTATGAATTTGATGCTTGCATTTTTTACAGGACCTTTCACAATAATTAAATTACCCTAACACTTCTGCAGTAATGTATCCTGTCAAACATTTTTAAGATTGAAGCATTTTAAGCTTTAAATTTGTTATCAGAATGGGAACTTTAATCAGATTTGTAGGCCTAACTTATTTTTAAGATTTTCCTAATATTGTATAACATTTTAAATATCGGTTCAATAAAATCTTAAATATAAATACCAATTTAAAATAGTGCCAGGCATTTCAACTGAAGAATTCGGGGATTAAAAATTGCTTTATATGCTAGTTTACATCTTCCTTAGAATGGATACTTAAAAACACCATTTACAGAGGTCAGTCCGGTCAAAGTGGATGAGTTCAGCCTGCAATAGCATATTTCCAGGGCGAAATAAAAGTTATGGCGGCAATGCATTACAGATGTCCTCCGAATGGCATTTCAGGCGCACCAGGCATATTGATAAAAAACCAGAAATTGCCAGCGGCCAGGAAAAGTGTCCGAAAACCGAAATGAAAGCGCTGGCAATAAGGGAAATCGTAAATGCTGGAAAAATGCCCGGTGGCTCTTGTATTCGGGCCATTTCCCTGCGGCGGTGCGGTGGCTTCGGTGGCTTCGGGGGATTCGGTGGTGTGATGATGAGGTTGAGAGGTGATGATGGCGCTGTTTTTCTGTTGACAGTACACAAAACCGTTTGCACTCCAATTTTTTGCAAATTTACAACTGCAATCAGGGAGTGTTGAAAATGGCCGAAAGCGATTCGCTCTTAAAACAATCGAAATTGTTTTCGATTCCATTCGGCAAACACAAATAGCAACTGCATTTAAACGGGGACCAAAGTGGCGGCCAAACATCAGGGCGTAAATCAGACGATTAATCCACATTCAGGCTCGGTTTCATTGTCAAGAGCAGGACCCTAAGCGCTCAAATCCGACTGTGTAATTATCTTTTCGCAGCTATGAACTCAACTACGCTCTGTGCACTCGTATATATGATGCTTCCATGTTGCAACGCCAAAAAAAGTTTGGAAAAACTATTCGTTTTTGGCTTTAGAGCTCTTCTTCTGGCCGCCTACTTTTTTGATTACTCTTTTGGGTAGCTGCAATTTGCAAGTGGCAAACAGTTGTTACCAATTTTTTTGGTTTTTTGCCTCACTTTTTCTGTCTGGTTTGCTTGCAGCACACGTAATTAAAAATTCATCATACGCCACGTTGACTGCGACCGACACGAACAAAAAACGGGAGATAAAGCAAGGCAAAAACATGCCGTGTGGGAGGAGCTAAATGAACTTCAAACTTTTTACAGTAAAACTAATTGGAAAACAATTAAGGTTTACCAACTTTCAAAGGCTCCGTAGACAAATGAAAGCGAAATAGCCCACTAAATTGCGCAGGATTGGGCTACAGGTTTGCATTACCATATTTATATTCAAAATCCACAGTATCGCGTTTTTTGCTTTTTTTGTGTTCCAACTTTTAACTTGCTACTTTTACCAGTTTTTCCTGTTGTCTTGTTAAACTTGCCCTTTTTCCCTTTCCCCTCTCCCGAGCAAACAAAACTATGGGAATTTGCTTCTGGATCCTGCAGGATCCTGGAAACAGGAGTACAGCGTGGTCAGGTAATTGAAAAACTTTGAACGCTTGGGCTTTTGGGCTTAGCAGGCCGAAAGTTTTCGATTCGAAGTTTCGCTTGTTACAACGTCGAATGCGCCAAAAAGCAGTGGCTTAATCAATTGACGATTTAAATTGGGCCAGCAAGTCCAGCACTCCACTTCGAACTAGGCCAAATGCTCTGCTCAATGCGCATCAATTGGCTTTGCCGCAGTTTTTGGCTTCAGCAATGGCTGCTCGGCAGCTTCCGGTCGGCCCGCCTCCCCCCGCATTCATGTTTGTGCATGTCGCGCGCGTGCCTCCGAAAAAAACGGAAATGCACAAATCATGGAGCGCGAACCATTGTTGTGGCGCAGTCAAAACGGAAATACGAACGAAACATATGTGTGGATGGGTGGGTGGGTCTGTGGATGTCAAAGGGGTCGCAATTGTGACAGCGAAAGGCGGGACAGAAATATGGATATGCCTGGCATACGCTGCCCCTCTGGAATAATTAATTTGCCCGGGCTTTTCGGAGACGATGACCAGCATAAGGGAAGCATCAGCAACTCATCAAGATTGTCTCAGATCTCTGCAGAGTTATTGCAGTGAAAAAGTGTATAAACATGCACTGGGAGTTATAAGATTCTAGATTTTATCAACACTGTTTCTATAAATAAAGGAAATCATTAAAATATTTAACAAGTTCATATTTTAAAGGAGATTAGGACAGGTACCATTGCTAAAAATGGTCAAGCTTTTAAAATTTTTTTATTTATTTTAGTTGGTTATAAGTTGTTTTTCTTACTTTGACCCAATTACAATTACAGCTAGTCTTCTTTAAATGACTCAAGTTAGTTATTTTAGTTGGTTATAAGTTGTTTTTCTTACTTTGACCCAATTACAATTACAGCTAGTCTTCTTTAAATGACTCAAATTTCCCCTGATTTTAAAGAAATTAAGCATTTTTGATATTCCAACTTATACGAACAAACACTTTTTAAATATTTGTATTAACTTTCACTTTTTAAAATATTTTTCAGAAAATACATTATAGTATAAACTCAATGTCAAACAAATAATCATTTCTTAAATAAATTTGGGTATTAGATTTTACTACTCAAAAAATGTTTGGAAAACTCTTGTAAGTGTTTTTATCTTGTAAGTATTTTTAAAAGTGGCACGTTTCAATTTATCCCTATTCGTTGTTTACAGAAAAGGGAAGATGGAAATTTTGAAGCATCTGCATCGCACCTTTTCGTACTAATCCTCCTACCGTATTCTTAGATAGTTCAGCTTTCCCTTAGCAACCGCACTGTTTCCTCGATATGGAAACAGTTTTTCGCAGTAGAGGAAAGATTGGACGTCAAGTCAAACAAAAAACTATGGCAGGCAAACAGAAAGCGCAACCCCAGCGAAATCCACTACTGACACACATGCAAAAGAATGGGTCTGCGGACTTCGGGGAGGGAGCAGGATGTAGGAAGCAGGATGTTGGATGCTGGATTCTGGATGTGGTGTTTTTAAGGAATGGGAATATATGTTTACACATGTTATGGCTAGAATGGCTTCAGTTTCCACTGCTCCAGTGGCTGTCAGCAACTCTTGGGCACGTTCGCTGCAATTGAAACTTAAACTTTTTCCGCAGAATGCAAAATTGTTGCAGCAATAACAAATGGCGGAGCTAAGAAAATAAATAAAGAGTGGAATCATGCCACAGCACAATGAAAGTTGAACAAAAGTTTTGGTGCGAATGCATGAATGTATGGATTTTTGTGTGCAACTTTCAGCGGAAACGGAAACGCGCGTAGCGCCATTGCAATGGCCGCTTTGTTTGCCAATATTTGACTCAAAATAAAACGCGTGCGAAAAACACAACACTGGGAATAATAATAAATATATTTATTGATATATTTATAGTTCTTAAGTACTTATCATCTTGAAATGTATTGGTATTCGAAATACATATTCACATATAAATTACAAAAACATTTAATGTTTGAATTAAAGATAGTTTTCAGTCAACAAAATAATACCTTGAAGTTTCAATACATTTTAATATAATATCATTTGAAGTACCCAGAGCGTTAACATTTTTCTAGAATCGAGAGATAAACTTATATGAATATTAATATAGTTCTTCGTTTAAAAGGGGCTCCAAAAAATATAAATATTAAATAATTTTTGAGCGCATTTTACAAATGACATAAAGTATCGTTAGAAGAAACAACCCATAAAAACAACTCGATCAAAAAGCACTTTAAAAGCAACGCAAATTTGGTTTAGGTGTAATCCCCGAAATAAAGCAATCATGGTGGCGAATTTTTTAGCGGTTTTTCCATCAGCACGGTGCAGTGTGAACGAGCGTCGAAGGAAGCCCCGGATCCATCGGGCTGCCAGCCATGGGGCCGGAATGGCACTTCCCCACGGGATATTGCCCGTCTCTGAATAGGTGCGAGGACAATCGACCTCCGACGTGGCCTAAATGCAATTCAATAGTTAACTTTCTACCCCATTGTGGCAGCCGGAACAATGCAGATTTATGCGCTTATCTATGTGGTGGTTCAACGACATTCTCCCCGGGAAGGAGATGGAGTTATATAGATATAGAGGCTACATAGAAGTGGAGTTGTGGACTGCACGAAAACATAATTAAAGTGCCAGCGAAAGATGGCCGCCAGCCAATTAACCGCATTGCCAGCCCGCTCTCCTTCTTGCCCCATCGCAAAACTTTGGACAACAATGGTGCTGCAGCTGAAACTGAAGCTGAAGCCAGAAGCCAATGGCAATCATAAAGTCAGTTGGAGCACGGAAATTGCAAGCTGCGGTCTAAAAGGTGGCACGCTCTGGCCATAACTCAGCACCCAGCGACTCCTCACTCCGGACTCCTGATCCCGGACACGTGGCCACGGCGTCTCTGGCCCAAAAAAACGGAAATTGCAAACTGCGGCTCCTTGTGCTCACCATTCTCGACCATTTTTATTTATTTCGCATTTACAAGCACCTTGGGAAGACTGGCCAGTGAAAGCGCCGTCTTTGTAATTATACATATTTAATGCACTTTGTAATACGGATACATTTTTCGGTCTGGGGCTCTATTGGCGCAGATTGAGGTTGAAGTGGGGAAGGCTCTGGAGATAGGAGGAAATGGGCTTGTCCTCTTCAGCAATTTCCAGCTCGATTTGCTGGGGATGCTTCGGCTGATGATCGGCAGGAACCTCAGACTCGCTGTGTTGGGGCTTCTGTTCCACTGGCTTTGGTCCGAGAGCCACCAAATGTCCCTGGGCAGAGTTTTGCTGGTGCTGGAAAGGTGGCCTCTGCTGCACCGGTTTGATTTCCAGCTCAACCTGATGATTGGGAGAAGAATGGTGATCCTTGATTTCAACCTCCAAGTGCTGAGGACGGTTCATTTGCAGATTAACCAAGTGTCCCTGGGCAGAGTTTTGCGGGTGCTGCTGTTTGATCTCAACCTCCAAACGCTGAGGTGGCTTCTGATCCACGGGCTTAACTTCCAGCTCGACCTGATGATTTGGATAGAAATTTGGGTGCTGCTCCTTCTGCTCCACGGATTGCTGATCCACTTCAACCTGGTTGTTCGACACATAATTGTGGTGTTGTGGCTGGAACTCCGTTTGCTGGGGCCTTTGGCCAGCTGGTCGCACCTCCGCAAATATATGGGCGTATTGATCATGATCCTGAACTGGCTTCGCCATCAACCTTAGTGGCGGAGCAGCCAAAACCGTGCCGATCAGTGCCAAAACTATAGCTGCCTTCATCTTGAATTGCTTACAACAAACTGTGAACACAGCTACTTTAACATTCTACTTAAATACCCCAATCAAAGTGCTTGCAACGCCAATATTTTGCAGCTAATTAGGTGTCAATAACATGTTATCATGGCACGTAAACCAGAAGCCCAGGGAGAACCCCGAACGCGGCAAATTGCTACAGATTAGATAGCGACATTGAGATAAACCAGGCGAGACGAGACCCATCACCTTTCCACTCTGTCTGCAGATGACTTCTAATTAAACACAGCGATTGGAGTTAATGAGGCTACTTTAATGCACATGTAGTCAAACTCATGTGAGCTTTATGTCGTAGATGCGCACCAAATGATCCTCTCCGCAACTCGCCAGCTGGAGTGTACTGCCAGGTCGGAACTGCAGTCGCCGAACGGTGAGATGATGAGCTTGGCTGACGGTTAACAAAATATTAATAAGAGATGATATGAATACTTCAGTCTTTAGCTTACCTCTTATTCAAATCGCTGAGTAACTTCCATTCTCCCCGCGCCAACTGATATATTTTTATCAGCCCGGTTTCCGTTCCCAAGGCGAGAATGTATGTCTCATCGGTTTCGCTTAGATAATTACTGGAAAAAGCCACAGCTGTGATTGACTCATTTTTGAGGTCCAGAACTCCAGCCGCCTGCCAGCCATTGAGCGAAGATTCCTTGCTGTCTTCTCCCTTCTTCCAAGCCACTACTTTTCCATCCCTCGAGCTGGTCACAAAGAACTTTCCATCGTGCGACCAATCGCAAGACCAAATGATGCGGGTGTGAACTCCATTGGTTTTATCCGTGCTGGCCACCAGTTGGTATCCCACGGAGGAGTCCAGCCTCTCGTAGAGACACCAGCGACGATCGCGGGAGACGGATAGCAGATATCGCCCATCGGGGGAGAAACTCAGCTGGGTGACTGTCAGTTGGTGGCCACTCAGCTTCTGCAACTGTTTCCAATTTAAAGGGTTCCTGAAACGATTTTGTTCTTCAATTAAGTGGCAATTTTATCTAAATAAGGTATAAGGGACAACTTAAAGCAATATACTATTATATCTATACTATTTAAATTTAACTGAAGACTGCCATACTTTAAGTCAACACCCACCATAGTATTATCTGAGCATGCTCGGCATTGCTGGCTTTGCAGGTGGAGGCCAAGACGGAACCGTCTGCAGTGGCAGCCAGTGCAAAGATTTCGTAACCATGGCCATAAAGCTTTTGCAGCTCTGGCCAAAGTGTATTTTGCATTAAAGTCTCCTCCTGCGGTGGCGTTTCCAAAGTAATGGGAACAAAATAAGTGTCCGGATACTCATCTTTGCCCTTGCTGGAGGAATCATTGTCGGTTTCTACTTTGTACACAGCCTTGTTTGACAGGCCAAGAGAAGGCACAGAAGCTCCTTTGGGAAGGGCTAATATAATAGAAAGATGCAAGTTAAAAGAAAATCTTTAAAATAACAGATGACTCACAATCCAGTAGGGCATCTCCAGCATCATCCTTCTTTATCCCGCTGATGTGACGGAAGTTTTCAATGAAGTTCGCTGGCGCCTGAAATGTACGCACAATCTTTTCCTCTGCTCCACTGGCGAATTTATAGCGCGAAAGCAAAGCCAACGCCTGCATGTCGTAACCATGAACTTGTGGACGGGCCAATTCGTGCCACGTGGGATTAGCATTGCCCTGCAGCCAAGGAGCATGCAGTCGCGTTGTTTGATCCGCTGAGACGGTCATCAAGTAGGCGCCGTCGTGTTCCCAGGCCAGATCCCTCACCTCGCCGTAATGACCGCCGACAATGACGTTGGAGGTCCAGAGTTGCGGGCGATTTGCATCCTGATTCCAGATATGAAAGCCTCCTTGGTAGCTGTGGGCCATGATTGAGTGTCCATCGCCGGAGAACTTGCCACCAAAGAAGCCCATCGAGTTGCCGCCCACTTCGCCGACGCGCACTTGCTCCAGCCAAACGCCCTGCTCCGTGGGTGCCCAAACTATGAGGGTCTTGTCAATGGAGGCGGATAGAAGGCGCAGTTCTGAAAGGTATAGAAGTTTAACAGGGTTTTTGCACAGTTCTGAAAAGGTGACTTACCCTGTTCCTGTGTCTTGTGCCAGTGAACCCCATAAATCCAGCCCTCGTGGCCATATAGAACCGATTCCAAGCTCACTGCATACCAGGCCTCCTTCCCCAGCTGCAGTATCTTTTCCTCCACCTTTATCTCGGTGTCGTTCTCGCTGAGCTGCAGCAGATCCATCCGGTTTTCCCGCATTTGCTCCTCGCTGCGGGGCGCAATCCTCCAGAGACGGATGAAGTTATCCTGCGAGCCGCTGGCCAGCAGCAAGTCCTCTCCATCGTCAACGAAATCCAGGCCGCGAACCCAATCCTCGTGGCCAGTGAGTTTGTGGACGCGTTGGAACTGCAGACCCAGTGAATCGCCACCACCTGTGGCCTCTACTTGCTCCGTCCACAGGGAAACAGTTTCGTCATCGCCACTGAAGGCCAGGAGGACGTGATTGCTCTTGGGCAGCAATTTCAGGCGAAGGGAGAAACAGAATCCACCAGCTAATGATATAGTTTGGAAGCACACACAAGTGTCCTCCTGCAGAGTCCACAATTTGATGGTGCTATCTGCTGCTGCGGTGGCCAGAAGCCAGGATCCATCCTGCCGACGCACTCCATCCACTGCGTTTACCCCGCTTGTGTGGCCTTTCAGTGGGATGCTCTTGGTGGCTCCCGTTTCACTTAGCTCCCAAAAAAGCGCATTTGCATCATCGCCACCGGAGAGAAGTTTCCCGTGATCCAGCCACTTTACGGTATTCACTCGCTTTGTGTGCTCCACCAGGGTGAACAAAATCTTGGCCGAGTTGCCTTGGAACTAGGAAAGGCAGTAAATAGTATTATTATATAGTATTATTTTAGATTAAAACAATTTTTCCCACCTTTGGATCCATTACGGCTATGGCATTGCAGGCTCCATAGGCAATCCACCCGTTTGGACCCCAATCCGCGCATTCCGTGCAGCGGTTGCAGGCCACCGAAGTGTACAGATTCTCCACTTGCATGCTACTCAGCTTGATGGCTTTTTATAACCTTAATAACAAGAATAACTCAAATAAAAGTCGGCAAATTTGTTTTGTTTTGGCACATGTGCTCCAAAAACTGCAGTGCTTCTCAAACTGTCTCATCTGTTGATAAACATATGTTTATTTTTGGCAGAGTGCGAGCGAGACAACTAGATGTTGCTTCCAGGGCTGCCAGATGGCGGGAAATTGGTGGGACCAGAAGATTACTTTAGAACATCTGGCAAGGCTGTATTTGAATAATTGCACTTATTTCACTTGTAAGCCATTTAAAAAGAGAGAACTTGAGAATTTTTAAACTTTTTCAAAACATCTCATGTTTGAAAGTTAAAAGAAAACTTTTGGAAATAACAAAAACCAATAAAAACGCTTTACAGTCATTTTACTTTGAATCTGGCGCTTTGCCAGTACAACAACTTGGTCACACTGGCTGGCAGAAGAAAATAAAACAACTGGTAAAAAGCATCCGCAAATGTTTTCCACTGCAGCTCTCCGCGTTTAATTAAAAGTAATTTTCCTAATTGATGACCAGGGGTGAGCCCCGGCCGCTGGTATTTGACCTTTGGCGCCAGTCTTTCGGATTTCCAATCAGAGAGCGCCCAGTTCGCGACTGACTCACAAACAGAAGCCACTTGAGTTTTCCCGAGTTTTCAACTTCGCTGTTCTATTTTTTGTATCTCCCCAGCCGTCTGTGAGCGTTTTGGAATGCTGAATGTGTTTCGCCAGCAGTATAATCGAAGCGCACAGGAAGTTATTTATAGCGCCGCCGGATTTGGATCATCCCGATCCAGCCACGCCCACGATTTCGACCAGAACCAAGATGCCGAGGGGCAAATCCCGCCTGCAGACCGAAGTCTGCGGCGATTGTGGAGCCGGTGATCCCTCCTGGGCGAGCATCAATCGCGGGATCCTCCTCTGCGCCGACTGCTGCTCCGTTCACCGCAGCCTGGGCCGGCACATCTCGATTGTGAAGTCGCTGCGCCAGGGAAACTGGGAGCCCTCGGTTCTCAACTTCGTCAACTCCCTGAATGCCCACGGGGCCAACAGCGTTTGGGAGCACCATCTGCTGGACGGCAGCAGTGGCTCGGCGGGCGGAAAGCACCTGCCCCGCTGGCGAAAGCCGTCGCCCAAGGATGCCCTGCATCCTACCAAATCCGACTTCATCAAGGCCAAGCACGTGAACCTAACGTTCGTGCTCAAGCCAAGTCTGCAGGACGATGACGACGGCAGTGGATCCGTGGGCAGTCTGGAACAGGAGCTGAGCAGGCAACTCCATGCCAGCGTGAGGACCAGCAATCTGGAGACCTCGCTGCGCTTCCTGGTTCAGGGAGCAGACCCCAATTACTATCACGAGGACAAGCTCTCCACGCCCCTCCACATGGCAGCCAAGTTCGGCCAGGCATCGCAAATCGAGATGCTGCTCATCTATGGAGCCGATGTGAACGCGCTGGATGGCAATGGGATGACTCCGCTGGAGCTGGCTAGGGCCAACAATCATAATACCATCGCTGAGCGACTGCTGGAGGCCATGTACGATGTCACCGACAGGATCATCACCTTCTTGGGCGGCAAGAAGCCAGATCATGCGGTGAGTTCTTGGGAATCAGTTCATATCTGTCAGTCTATAAATATTTTTTTTTAATCCAATTTAATTCAAATCTAACTGTGATTCATTAGGCATACATATGTAACTCATCAAGAACTCATAATTCAACTAGAAGCTCAAACCGAAGTAATTTTACTGAATTATAAAAAAATACATTAGTACTAATTTAGTATACATACTGAATATTAATTCTTAGATCCTGAATAGTTCATTTAATTTAATAGATAACCCTTAACAATATTTAAATTGATGTCAAAAACCTGGATTTCCATTGACCCTAAGATAATTCGGCTAGTGATTGTGTTGCTTCTGATCTATGGGTCACTAGGGCTTTATATTTCTATGCTATTAATCATAGTTAACAAAGGGAAACTCCACCCATGTACCCATCCTATTCCACAACTGAATTAATTGACTCCTTCCCCACAGAGTGGACGCCACATGATTATACCGGATGCCAATGGCGCCGACATAAGCGAGCAGCTGAAGATTGCCCGCGGAAAGCTACAACTCGTGCCAAATAAGATGTTCGAGGAACTGGTCATGGACCTTTACGACGAGGTAGACAGACGAGAGTGCGAAGCTAGTGAGTAGTATTTAAGTACAAATTATTTCTTCAAATAAAATAAATATATTCATAAAATTGCAGTCTGGTCGACGAGCACCCTGAATGCAGATCATGCAACTGTGCCATTTTTGCCGGCTAATCCATTTTTGAGCGCCACGCGCAATCAGGTTTGACCTTGCGAAACATGAATGATTCAAATCTTTATTCATTGACATGCTTTCGCCACAGGGTCGACAGAAATTGGCACGCTTCAATCGCGCCGAGTTCACTGGTCTGTTGACCGATGTGCTCGTCGACGCTATGCGACGGCAGAACATGGCCAACCTGCGTCCACTGGATGCACCCTTGCCCGGGCATCAGTCACTGCAATCGCTGCCGTATGCCAACAACTCAATGTTTGAGCAGGGCGGTCATGATCCGAATCTGTCCGACGACGAGCCCATCTACGATCCGGTGGCCAGCGATGATGACTACGCGCCAGTGCCACCAATGGCCCAGCAGGTAAACCTAATGCGGCAAAAGATACTCAAGCTGAACAATAGCTTTGGCTAGAAGCGTAAGCGAAGACTGACAATTAGACACCCCGTGCTGTACCCATGTGTGTTCAACCGTAGTCCAGGGCATTATAGCTCCCTGATTTTAGGCAATCCCGTCGATTCCCAGTGGTAGAGATCCAAATGTAGACCATAAGCCTCAATAAAACTAGCTGATAATTGTGAAAGTGTAGTTTGAATACTTGTAGTTGTCCTCTGATTTGTCTGCTTTTCGTTAGTTTATTTGCATTTATATTTTATAGTTTTTATATATTTAGTTTTCCTTATTTTATTGACTTATTTATTGTTTATTTTCATTTCTTTTGCCTAGGCCATTGTGCATACCCCACCGCGCAATGCCAATTCGCACAACGAAATGGAAACGCTGCGCAAACAGCTCAGCGATTACAAGTCGGAGATCAATCAGCTGAAGAACGTGGTGCAGATGCTGTCCAGCGAGAACTCGCAGCTCAAGTCGAAGTTCTCGAGCGCCTCCAACAACAGCGTCTACGACGAGCCACTGTGAGAGTTTTAGTTTAAATTCACTTTGTTTACTTTTGTTTATGATTTCATTTGATTTTCCTTGGCCTAGTCGCATTGATCTGAGCCTGAGCAGTCCCGATACGGAGCACGAGCCTCTGTCGCTGCCTGAAGGTGGGTCTGCCAATGTGGAAAGCGGCTCCTCCAATGACTCCTCAAACCAGTCGACCATCAAGCGCCCAGCCAGCATGTACGAACGCCGTCTGGTGCCCAACGTGGCCAAGGGTCACACCGATATTCGGAATACGACCAGCATGTACCAAATGGCTGGCGATGGGAAGCCTTTTGGTGAGGAGGTCAAGGTGCGCTCTGATCTGGTCACTCGCTGTCTAAAGGAGCTCATAAGGGCAATGCAGCCCGTGCCGGAGGATCAGAAGCAGTCGATTGCCCCACATGGAGAGCTCATCCGCAGCGCCGTGACTGATTTAATTGCTCTATATGCCAATTTGGTAAGATTAACAAGCATTTACGTGGGATTACATTTTACCAAAGATTTTTATGGATGGCTGATAAATATTTATATTGTTTTAGCCACCCAATGCCAGCGACCCGACCCGCGAGACCCTTAAGCTGCTGACCCGCCAGAACATTCTCATCCAACACGAGTGCGAGAATCTGCAAAAGGCCATCGAGGCCGATGACAAGCAGGCCATACAGAAAAACACCTTGGAGGTGCGCGACTGCGCCTTCCACATCGCCAGTGCCATAAAGACCTTGGTGTTGCAGTTCTATTGAGGCGGCCAAAATACAATCGACCTAGAAGTTTAACTTACCCCCATTGAAGTATTAACCAACCACCTTAGTGCCCCGCTGACTAACAAACGTGCTTCCGCCAAATAATTAAAAGTGTCCCCTTTACATATAGTTTATGTATTTAATAAATGTTTACATAAATCAATGTACTCTGTTCAATATACACAAAATGCGTTCTTCTACGGGCTAATGGCCCATTGCAAAATAGTTTGAAAGTGTCGAAGGTTGGCCCGCGAGGGGCGCGGGAAGGGGTCGAAAGATGTACGATATCTATATTTATATGGGTCCTTTATAATTGTAATAATCAGGTGCATTTTGAGCCTGTATATTGTTCACTTTAGTTAACTGTACGTTCTAAGCATGGACAATCAGTTAAGCATGGAGTACATATATGCATGTGGCTTCCTCTACTTATTGTTTAACTTTGTGTAATTGCGTGGGTAGCTGCTGGCCTTGTTTTAGCTTTGTTCTGATTTCCGGTTGGTCGCCAGCATCGCAATCAGATTGCTATTCCTATGGACAAAAATACACTCTGGCTTTTGTTGCATCTCGTGTCTGGTGGTGTGCAAGTTCAAGGAACTATTTAAGATTAAAGCATTTATCCATGAGTGTTGCATTCGCGATCGCGTTCTCTAAAAAATAATATGCTCTGCTGTGTTTAAGCGGTCCAAAAATGTCCATAAAAATATACGTATCCCATTTTTTGATTTTCTGACATTCAAAATTTAGGTGCTTTGTCTAAAATATTGCTTTACATTCACTTTACATCTGCTTGCCTCTTGAGTTTGCTAGTCCTCCGCGCCGTCGTCCAGTGTTTTTTGCATACAACCTATAGTGTTTGATTGCGTTAGTGGACTCTGGATTTTTAAAATCAACTACTGGGAATATCTAAGGAAGTATCTCAAAGCTCGGCTCAAACTCTTTTCTTTTTTTAACTAGATCACAAAACATAAGGGCTGCTCAGTAATTACAATATAATAATCAGTTGGTTGTGTAAATCAGTTTATCTAATTAAAGGTAAATTAAACTAGCGGTAAGCTTTAGGTACACGTACTCACTACATCCACATACATCATATACAATATCAATATCAAGTTCATACATCTCTGGGGAAGTCTTAAAAACGTTCACAACGAAACTTAGCCGAAGAAAACAGAGGAGCGGTAACAATAAACGGTAATAAATATAGGACACGATCCCACAGATCTGCCAACTAACTAACTAGCTAACGGGTATATCTTCGCTTTGCTTTTGCCTAATCCCTATTCAAATATTTCTCTCCGCATCGGAACCTGCCCTTAAATCAAGTTGTCTAATTTTTTTGTAACTAGAAAACGAAAAAGAAATAAAAAATACAAAAATTAAATGCAAATTTTGAATTAAATGGCTTTCGGTAGTTCTTTACTCGTCCTCGGCCTCGGCGATTGTGGAATTCATGATGTGCGTCTCCTTTTTGAACAGTAGCTGTCGGTGATGCTGTGGGATTAAGAATTACTTGGATTATCAACGGGTCCATCCAATAATTGCCAATATCCCACCTCTTCGTTTTGTATCATAACGATGCGGTGCTCCAACTGGGGCGCCAAGTCGCAGGTGGACTGCTCCAGGTCATCCAAGGAAGCCCGTCGCAGCATCTTTTTGAGAATATCCATTAGAATTTTACTCATATGTAAATTTATATTCAAGTTTTTCATACCTTCTGGGAATTGCCATGCGTCAAATCCATCGACTTGTTGTGATGGCCCACGGACAACTTGCGGATGGGGGATGGTCCATCGAGATCCATGCTATCCAGACACTGGACCAAACTGTGCCTCCGCGAAAGTGTCACCAGTGACTGTCGGTGCTTTGTGTTTTGCCCACACTTACGGGAATTGATGGCCTTGAAGTGGTTCTGCAGTGTAATCCCCAATTCTGGACAGGCATCGTCATCCATCTGAAGTGGAGGAACAGTAGAATTAAAACAGGATCCTTTACAAGATGTAGTCTTTTTAAAATACTTGGCTGATAATCAAGAACGACTAAATATATAAATTGACTCACCAGCACAGTGGCGTCCTTGAACATCGTATAGCCATCGCAGCCCATGAAGATGTAGCTCTTGACGCACAGCTTGTATGTCTGCTCCAGGTTAAGGTACTCATCGCCCACCTGGATAAGCTGCGGATCGATGCGCTTGCCGGGCTCCGCCTGCGGATCGAAGGCAAAGCTGATCCCTGACACCTGGGGAAATCGGCCCTCCAGCTTTGGATAGGCCGACACACCGTTCTCCAGTGCTTTCCACAGCACCTGACCCTTGACCTCGAGCAGGATCAGTGGATCCCGCATGGGTATAACATTAACCAGATCGCCCATGGTGAAGGCACCCACCGGATGCACGCGATCGGAGCGGAAAGTGCCTCCATTCAGGATGACCACATCGGCACCGACGGCGGCCAGCACCACGTCGCACACCCAGTTGCCCAGATTCGTCTCCTGGGTTCGGACTCGGGAAAAGCGGCCGTCTAACTCAACGCTGAACACGCCCATCACATCCGACAGCTTGCTCTCGATGAACTCTGCAAGAAAAGGTGGAGATTAGCTTTTTTGGTAAAACCCATACTAACTTCCTTAACTCAAGCTACATTACCTAGAGTTAGGGCTAGTACTCAACCCAACAAAAAGTCGTCCAAAACAAAAACTTCATATGAAACAAAAATTTTTGACGTTGTTTTTCATATGAAGTTTTTTGTTTTGGACGACTTTTTGTTGGGTTGAGTACTAGGCCTTAAGAAGAACTAGAAAAAACAAGAGAGAAAGCTATAGTCGGGTTGGTGTCCCGACTATCTAATTCCCGTCACTCAGCTAAAGGGGGTGCCAAGGAGATAGATATATAACATTTTTTTGATTGCGCATAACTTTTTAATGAGTGGTCCGATTTGAAAAATGTCTTCTACATTTCGATATGGGCACTTCCAAAAAAAGTCCACCAAGCCAAAAACCTTGAAACTTGAATAAAACACATTCCCACATGATTTTGCCCCGATATTAGTTTCTAATTAGTTGGATACTGAGCTTAACTACAAATTTGGAGTATAGTTTGATTATTTTTATGACAAACCCCACCAATATACGCAAAAATCAGTTTTTGGCTATTTTTTGGTAATTTTTTCATTGATTTGTTAATTTTTTCCAAAGCATATATGATTATTTTATATTACTTATTAGTTTTTTCTGACAGTTAACTACTACAAAAACGTACAAAAGAATTCATAGTTAATTCCTCAAGAGAGATCCCACTTTGAAACAAGTGGCATAAAATCCGTTAAATATGGGGCTTTCTGAGAAAAATATAATGGTATTTTTGCAGACTGGCCCTTTGGACGAAATCCTACTTTTTGACTTTAAAAACGCTATCGCTTGGTCATCTACGGTCTAATAAAATCAATTTTTTTCTCGTAATCGGCTATGGAATGACAGATTTTTCTGTTTTTGAACCATGCCAATTGTTTCTTCCGTTCGCAGGATAAAAATGAATTTGTGTTTTCTTTTCAACGCGATTATACGGCGAAAGAGTGGTAACATTGACAAAATAGGTATGAGGTAAACTATTGGAAGCAAGTGGCTTTGCAATCAATGTGGTACTGTCCACATACAAAAAAAAATAAAAAAGAGGGGTGGCGGGGTTGACATGGAACGTCCCATATATAAATATACACAACAAAATTGTATTTATACTTCTCAGACAAATTTTAAAATCAAGAATATGTGTGGGAAATCTCAACCTTCTAGCTTTTGTAGTTTCCGAGATCTAAGCGTTTATACAGACAGACAGACAGACGGACATGGCTATATCGACTCGGCTAGTGACCCTGATCAAGAATATATATACTTTAGGGGGTCGGAAACGCTTCCTTCTAGCTGTTACATACTTTTGCACGAACATAATATACCCTTTTACTCTACGAGTAACGTGTATAAAAATGATTTAGAAAAACACAAAATATCTAGATCTTTAAACATCTTTACATCTTCTAATATATTCAGGGATATACACATGAGTTCTGTTCAGTACACTTACTGGCATATTTGGAGAGCTCCTGCTTCAGTTCCGGATCCTCCGGAATTTTGGCCGTCACATCGAAGCATTTGACGTCCGTGGTGAAGTGGTCCCGATTGGCGGCATCCCGCTCGATGGTAATCACCGAGAACTGCTGGAAGTCCGTGCCCGACTTGACGATCATCTTGCCGTTGATTTCGGTGACCTCGCGAACGTGATCGTGGCCACCGAGGATAATATCGATTCCGTTGCACTTCTCGGCCAGGTTAATATCGTTGGGGGTGCGCATGTGGGTGAGGGCGATGATGAGGTCACAGCCCTCGTTTCTCAGCTCGCGGGCCAGCTTGTTGCCCGCCTCCACGTAGTCGATGTAGGTCACCTCATTGGGATCGATGGTCGGCAGGGTCTCCAACCACTCACGCTCCACCAGACCAATCAATCCAATCGATATCTGGTTGTGCAGTATAAAGTGCGAGATCTTTCCGCCGCCCAAGGGACGACCGGTTTCGTTGTCCACCACATTTGACATGAGCCAAGGGAAGTCCGTCTGCTTGATCAGCTTCACCAGCACATCCAAACCGTGATCTGGAAATTATATTGATTATATTGTTAGAAATGGCAGACTGAAAGTATATGTACGCCAGCGTTTCCTACCAAAATCGTGATTTCCAAAGACCGCACAGTGGGTTCCCACGGAGTTGAGCACAGGAATCATCTGTTCGCCCTGGGTGAAGGTGCTCACTGCAATTGAAAAATATTCAATGAATAATTTAAATCTTTGAACACTCACAAAAGGGAGATGGCCATATGGAGTCGTCAAAGCTACCGACGCCATCTAGCAGCTGTTTAAATGTTTGCTTATAACTTTTTAATGGATTGACCAATTTTAAAATTTTCTTCTACATTTTGATAGGTATTAATAAACACAAGAAAATGGCATTTAAACTTTTAAAAAATCTGTAAAAATGTGGGCGCTAGGGATAGAGATGAAAGTATTCTTGATTCTGTTTTTCGATTTATTTAATTTAAAACAAGAGAGAACGCTATAGTCGGGTTGGTGTCCCGACTATCTAATACCCGTCACTCAGCTAAAGGGAATGCGAACGCTGTACTCGGGTTGGTGTCCCGACTATCAAATAATCGAACCTCAGCTAAAGGGTGCGAGGGAGATAGATATATAAACAATTTTGATTGCGTGTAACTTTTTAATGAATGGTCCAATTTGAAAAATGTCTTCTACATTTCGATAGGTATAAATATACACAACAAAATTGCATTTATACTTATCGGAAATCTTTAAAGATGTGGGCGCAGGACACATTTTAAAATCGTAAGTGGGCGATTGTTGGCGTTAGAGGAGGCGTGGCGCTCGGCTGAAATAAACTTGCGCTGCGTAGGAGGCCCAAGAATATGTGTGGAAAATCTCAACCTTCTAGCTTTTGTAGTTTCCGAGATCTCAGCGTTCATACAGACGGACAGACGGACATGACCAGTGTTGGGAAAGGTACTGTGTTTTTTTACCTAGGTAAGGTAAAAGGTATTGTCAAAAATAAATACCTAGGTAAGGTAAAGGTACTTAAATTTCCCAGTACCTAGGTAAAGGTAAAAGGTATTTATAAGGTATTTTTTATTTTTTATAATTTTTTTGTTTTGTTCAATGTAATCATTTAAACTTAAAATAAGACTAGTTTTCAGTTTTTAGTCGTCTTAATCAAACAATATCTTTTCATTTCATTTAAATTTAAATGTTTTAATTTTGTGCATATATTTTTAAACCACGCGGCATGAATAATTTTATGCACGTATCACTTCATTAATGTATTTATGAAACCCTCATGTACATATTTGGCGCGCAAAAATTCCGTATGTAGAAACATTGACTATATATTGTGCATATGCATGTATATGCCGTTTGTTTACGTACATACGGCATTTTTGCGCGCCAAATACACTTTGGTTTCATAAATAAATTGATGTAGTGATGGGAACATACATACGTGCACAAAATTATATAAAAAAAAACTGCGATTAGTTTTAACTTCACAAAACAAACAATAGAACGGCTGAATTATTAATGCTGCGTTCCGACTATTACAATTCTGAAACGAAACGATACAATGAAACGATACTACAGTGTCGCAGTCGAGATTTGGCTATTTTAAATCAGAGCAATGTTTAATACCTATGTAAGTACCTTAATAATTCCAAAGGTATATAAAAATAAATACCTAGGTAAGGTAAAAGGTACTCAATTATTTGTATACCTAGGTAAGGTAAAAGGTACCACTAAATTGTACCTAGGTACAACTGGACATGACTAGATCGACTCGGCTAGTGACCCTCATCAAGAATATATATACTTTGTATGGTCGGAAACGCTTCCTTCTAGCTGTTACATACTTTTGCACGAATACAATATACCCTTTTACTCGACGAGTAACGGGTATAATTACGTCTTGAGAAAACTTTCTTTCCGATTGAACATGTTTCCCCATTACTTACACATGCTGGGCGAGAAGGCGTCTCCACTGAAGAGCACCAGGGGATTAAGATGGGCAAAACTCTTGATGGCCGTGGCAAATCTGGCTGCCCCGCCCACTGGTTCCGTTTCCGCCATGGACTCGATATTGTAGACATCGTTGTAGTGCAGAATGATCAGCGGCTTGTCCTCGCCCTCGGTCATTTTCAGCAGCTTCTTGGTCTTCTCCAGCTGCGAGGATATCGATGTGGAGCGGCCGGTCAGGCCGTGTGTGATTATTCGCGAGCCGGAAACGGATCCCGAGCCCGATCCCCGATGCCTGGGGCTTTGGGGCTGGCTGACGGAAGCGTAGGCGCGTGTGGGTCTCGTCAGGAGTTCCCTGGCATCCAGCGGCGTCAGCGACTGGCTTCCTCCGGCGGCGGATCCTTCGTCGGGTTCGTCCGGTCCGAACTGCAATGTGGATCCACTGAGCGAGGCGGTGGCACTGGCCGGAGCAACTGGGATTTCGCTAGAGGTGGGCGTCGTGGGTGTGGGCGTGCCCAGTGAAAGGTCCAAGGATCGAAAGTTGGGATTGCTGCTCTGCAGCATCGACAACGTCCTTGTGCCGGCGTCTCGCACCTCGATGGATGCCTGCAAGGGATGGGAAAGTATTTAATTAATCACAATGTGCTCTCGGGGAATCCTGGACCACATCAAAGGACATCAGGGGCAAAAAGAAGAATCAGGCGGGCGGATGCAACACAAAAGCTAAGGGGTGCAGGTGGTTTGTTTTCTGGGTGTAATACACTGTGTATCGTGCTGGGTGGTACACATCAATACGGATTGTGGGTGTGGACAGAACCTGCTTCAGCCAGCCCACCACATTGCCCATGGCGGCGGCTCCTCCCGAACGGCTACTGCCCGTCAGGTGGCTCAGGCGACGAGTGGATCCATGGCCAGTGGGTGGTGGCGTTGTGGGCGGCACCGCTGATCCGGATACTGATCCCGATCCTCCGCCGCCTCCTCCTCCTCCGCCGTCGATTCCCGCATTGCTCATCCTACAGCCGCTGCTTGATTGGGGAAGATCGAAATGGAAATGGCACACAAGAGATTGGTGATAGACTCGACTTGAGAGGTAAGCTTAATGGGTCTTTTTTCGGGATCTGATTGCTCAGCTAATCAAAAACAATTAGAGAGCGCCTACTAATTACAAAAGGTAATAATTATCGAAAAATATAAATTGTGTTGAAGGTTGTTAAAGGCTTAAAAGTATTTAACAAAATAATATTTAACCTGTATACATATATTTATATATTTATTAAAAAAAATATTAATACCGGGATTAAATATTTTTGTAGCACCCCGAATAAAATTGAACACCAATAACCAATTAATAAATAATAAAAGCAACATAAACAAAAATGTAAGTCACGTCTTTTGTATTGATAAAAAATATCTGAAAGGTTATTGTTTATCTAATTAATATGCAAAAGGGCGTTTTTATATATAGCGGGAAAAAAAGTTCACTTCACGGACGTGTAAACGTGTATTGTACTATTTTTTCAGCTGCGAATTTTTACACTTGAGTCCCAGAAACAAAAGAGAATAATGCGAACAATTAGCTGAGCCATCAGATAGAGAAAATATTTATACATAGCTTTGGGAGAACTTACAAAACGCCTGGCAAACATCGAAAGCGGCTTAGACGCATTTTCAATAAATTAATAAAACAATCAGAAATGGCTGAGAAAATTTCGTAATTTCGCGCTAAAAATAAAAACAAAACAAGACCCGCGCCACTCGAACTGCAAAACACAAATTCGATTGCTCAAGCAAAATGAATACAATTTTCTTCGATGCAAAAATATAAAAATATACAAAATACAAACAATGATAAGGCTGAGAGCATAAAATGCACAGAGAGGTGGCTAGAAGTGGCGACATCAACACGAAAGTAAATAAATAGCGCAGAAGGAAATCAATTTGCAACAAAGTGGAATTTGCTCATGACCTACAGATGGGACTCTTCATTATTTGCTCTTATTCTTATTCCTTTCTGTTTGCGAAATGCCCCATTAACTCAGGGTGAAACAAAAGCAATCAGCGATAGAGAGAGATTGAGATTGAGAGCCAAAGTATCCCACAGATACACTGAACCTCTATAGAGCTCATTGGGGCGCATTGACATTGATAATGAAAGCAACAAGCAAATCAACAAAGTCATCTAAGCAACACTCATACGCAACGTTGGCCGTGCGAAACAAGGTCAAATGTGTTTGATGGCTGCTAGGCAACATCATCTTCCTCAGGTTGAACATTAAGCCGACGGCAAAAGTTAAGCTGCGGATTTTGGCAGGACACGGGAAATGAATTGCAATCGGGCAGGAAATGCGCAGAAATGGCAATCTGACAGCCGGATGACTTCAATTTTCAACAACCTTCATTGGCCAAATACGTGACCAGAAAGTATCCAGCTCTAACTGGCTGCAGTTGGTAACCAAACAATTGAAGCCAATTAGCAGACTATCAAATTATACCGACCACACTTTGTTTTATTTATTGCCTTAATTAATTCCCACGGAATCGAGTTACGAACACGGTTTGTTTTCCCGAGCTGCGTGAAAGCGCGTATGTCAATGTCAATGTTATGTTTGCCAGAATTTCACTTTAATTGAATCTACTGACCCGCACATAATTAATTTCATATTTCAGCTAAGTGCTGTTTACCCGGGAACCACATTTCAAACTGCATTAAATATGCTCATCAAGCGTTCATGCAGAAACATTCAGAAACATTCAGCGGAATACAAAGTGGCAACCGCAAAATCTCATTTCGGAATTTGCGCAGACCAAACAAAAACCATAAATATTTGGTCGAACTTCGGTAAGCAAAGTTGCAGACACCCTCACAAAATGATATTCATTTTTTATGGTTTACTTCCTAAGATTTTATGTTTGTCTTATTACTTTGAGCTTGATAAGGCCTCTATCATTATTGCAGGTTTTCTACAAACAAAAAAACATATGATATTTATACGCAGTTTTTAATGTGAAATACTGGTAATATTGATATTAACTAATATCATTTTGCCGGTTTCTCCCTATCGGAGATTCTCTAACGACGAAAAAGAGAGCAATATGCAAGCGAGAATAACTCTCTCTCAATTCAAAATAGAGTGGAATAGCCCTTAAAGTGACATAGAACATGTGGTTTACATTTCGACCATATCGAATTGATATGCCGCTTATTAAATCAAAAATTGATACCACATAACATCAAATCGATCATCGTTTCAGTTTTTTTGGGAGTATAAAATGTCATCTCGGATTATGGGTTTTTAAAGTATTTATGACATTTAAATTAGATCAGATGTAATAATTAACTTTAATTTGATTAGTTTGTTGTTGTAATAAGAAAATCAGAACCGAAATGGAAGTACTCATCGAAAGGGTACACTCATAGAAATTTTTACCTAAATACTAGAAAAGTCGCCCTAAAACCGAGGTCGCCCTAAAAATACGAAAAATTTTCTTATTATACGGGTGGCTAGCCCTAAATATACGAAAAATCGCCATGGAAAATATTTTTTAGGGTTAGTTTTTTCAAAAAGGCCAATTTGCCCTACTTTTTAGGGCGAAATTTTATGACGCAATAAATGGATACATACATGTAAGACATGTTATGTACATGTGTGTGTAGTTGACAGGTCAAAACAAGTGAGTTAGAATGGGTAGCCCAGCGGTCTAAGCACTCGCACTTTCAGCTTTGCTGTTTGAAAATACAGGTCGTGGGTTCGATTCCTGTGTGAGTCAACACTTTTTTTTTTATTACAGTTTTTATTACTAATTAAGATTTTTCGTCCGCATGCTAAATTTAAAGTAGTCGTAAAACCCTAAATACATATGGAAATTCTGAGTTTAAAGACTAATTTATGTTAATCATGCGAAGAAACGGCCCTAAGTATCCCAGCCAGCAAAGTTTTTGTATGTATAATTTAGACCGCAAGAAAGTAAGATGTGTACAGTGTTTGTACGTTGCTTAGCGCGATCGGGCTGTGGTGCAGCGCTAGAGCGTTAGACTCCAACTCGAGAGGCTGTGGGTTCGAACCCTCGTAGAGACCCCAAATGTTTTTCTCAAGTAAGTTGTTTTTTCTCCTTATACATATATATCTCCTTAATTCGATTACAAAGATGATTTTTCAGTTATAACCGGCAGTTATACAAGTCTGCTGCCTCCTGCCCCCAATGGCATCGTCCGATATAGCAACAATTCAACAAATAAATTATCTGAAACGATGTTCGTGTGTGTGTGTATATGTGTTGAGTCCAGTTCCCAGGAAATTTCAACACCCCCCCCCCCACCATTGAAAAATTAATAGATTTTTTTGCTTTTATTTGGTTTTATTTTTATGGCGATTCGCCCTAGATTTGTTGCCTAGTCGCCATTGACCCCCGTTTTAGGGCGATTTTCCATGTTTTTAGGGCGATTTTACCGGAAAATTTCTATGAGTGTATTCATTTCAAAAATGAAAGCAGAAATAAATGAAACATGCATTTGGACATGACAGCTCTTATTTACGAATGTGCAACAGTTGAAGTGGATCTGAAATGGGAATAATCTTTTCAAGGGCTAACCCCTTTCAAGCCAACATGCTGGAAAAAAGGCTCCTGAATAATGTTTAAGCATTTTCACGTACTTAATATGGCCGCTCGCTCTGTTTACGCTGTTTTCGCTTTCCAAGGATTTGGTTTGGGATGAGCAGACAAGTGAAAGTCGGGGGGAAAACAATTGCATGCAATCAATCGGTGAAATCAGGCATGCAATTCGTATGAGTGTGTGTCTGCGTCCTTGACTCTTCGGCAAGGTAAATTCAGGCAGGTGAGAGGCACTCTAAGGCAAGGGTTAAGGGTCAATTGGCTGAAGGCTGAAGGATGGGCCTGGCCCAAAAGGGAGGTCGAGTCTCGGCTGTGAAGTGAGCAGGATTTCGCTTGGCTTGCCTTTCGACAAACCTAAGGACATGCCCAGTTAACCAGACACCACACATATGTACGAAAAGTTACTTTCGCAACAGTTGGGCCGAAAGGTTGGGTCTTGTTCTTGGTTTATCGCCAGCATGTTGGCAACAAAAGTTCATTAGCATATTACGTATACGTCTGATTGCCCTGTAACATTTTCATTTTGGGCCGGGGGAAACGGAAATGGAATGTGTAATGAGAAAAACGGAAACTCAAACAGCAACTCAGGAATAAATTATTAAGGGCATTTCCAGATTATTTCAGAAGGCAACACATATGGTTCTCATACACGACTCAAAGCTATAGCCCTATAAATATAATTTCACTTTTAAATATATCCATATGTAGGTTTTTTGAACAAGTTAAAATTAGCTCTTAAAGCACTTGCCCAACTATTTTAATACCGCTCTAGCCTTGGCATTTAATTTAGATCAATAAGTGCATAAGGGCGAAAGTTTTAATAACTTTCAGCTGAGATACTCAACTGCCACAATTTCCACCCCTTTTAATTGCATAATTGATAATTTCACCTAACGGCTGCCAGTTACAGCCAGTGATTTACTCACTTGCGTGCAAGGTTTAGTGAGTCCTCCTCCCTTTGCCCCTTTTCCCGCTGTCGAGTAGAGGTTGCCCAGCAACTGATTTTCGGGGGTTCGTTTGTGGGATGCAAGCAAACTGCAAAAGTAAAGAAACTTGCTGAATAATTCAGAAGGAGGGATATACAGACGAGCTTGCATTGATGGAACTGAAACCTAACTAGTACTCCTGGTTCATAAAATTAATAAAATACCTTGGGAGCTAATATGCTTCTATAATTTAGACTACCAGCCAAAGGTCATAGATGCTTATACTATAAAGTCATAAGATAGGTTTACATATAATATAATACATAAATATCATGTAAACCACTTTAAGCATTAAGATTAAGATTGTTTTTCTAATACACAGGATCCAATTCGAATAATTGTTTAAAAACTAAAAAACTATCAAGTACAAAATCAAACCTAATAAACGAAAGATATTTTATTTTGTAAGTAGAGTATGTCAATTTAATTAAGCCTCACTGTAGTTAGTCCTCTAGCACTTCTCTTAAAAGTTTTTACTGTCTTGCACTACTTTGGCGGTAAAAGCTGTAACAAACATTGATGGTGTGTTTTTACAACCCTCCCCTTAGTTCTGGTTTCTTGTGGAAAACAGCAAACAAGACGCCCATCAGCACACATAGTATGACAGCCACACACGCACCTTCACTTGAGTTGACTGCCTTTTTATAGTACTTACTACATGCTATTTTAGCTCCACTCTTTAGCCTGATGACTGAAATTTCAAAGTCAAAAATTCGATCACACTTGTTGTGGGTTATTTTTGTGTTTCTTTAAGTGAAGGTCTTCAAATATTTTGCATGTCTCTATAAAAGTTTTTAACGTGATAGCTTCAAGTTTTTAATTACTGAGCAATTTATCAAAAGTTACTCCTTAGGGCTTGTGCTTTTAATGTCACCTTTTCAATTGATGATCCATCAATCAAAATAAATTACGATTTTCGAAAATTGCTTAAAAGTGAAATCAATTACGCAATAAACGTTTTGTTTTTTTTTATTCCATACAATAAATAATAAAAGAGACCCATTGGAAGTAACTTTTTAAATAATTTTGGTGCTAAATTTGTTTTTAAGTACGTAATAATTGACCACTTTATCAACACAACAAGCCAAAGAAGAAGTTTCAAAATGTCATTTGAAATGTTTATTTTTGAATCGAAATAAATTTCGTAGACTTCAAGGTCAGGCAACCGAGAGAAGGCCCCCAAATGCGGTCACACTCCTTGTGAGTACCCGAGACCCACTTATCTGCTGCCAAGTTCAAACAGCCAAAAACATGGCAAACATCAGCAAACATTTTTTCGCCAAGAGCGGCACTTGTTGTAAAAACCAAAGGGGGTGAGGTGTTTAAGGGGGTTATGTGGGGGTATTTGAGGCAAAAATTCATAAAATCAGCTGTGTTTTTGAGAGAGTGGGACTCTCTCTCGAGAGGAAGCTTTTTGATGGGGGCTGCTTTTGAATAATTCCTCTCTGGACTCTCTTAATAAGCACGTTGTTTGGTAGCTGTTATTATTGTTGCGTATTTTTTTGCTGTTGTCTTTTAAGTTAATATTTTAGAACGTGTTGAGCGACGGGCTTTCGCACACCACGTCATACTCCCCATGTACCTATATACATATATTTATATCGGTGTGTCTGTGTGTATCATGC